GCCCCTCTTCCCTCCCCCCCTCTCATGTTTCCGGTATGATTTTTCTCTTCAGTCATTGTCCATAGGACTCAGAGAAGTGGTGGAAATATGTAGCTGCAGACTTGAAGTTCTATCTCCAGGTTTATCTCCAACTTTGAGGAAATGGATTAACATCACGGGCAGAGCCTCAGCCTGCTTCCTTATAGCACCCAGGACCACCAGGGAAGGTGCCATCCACAGTGATTGGGCCCTCCCACAGCAATCAATCAATCAATCAATCAATCAGTCAGTCAGTCAGTCAGTCAGTCAATTGGTCAATCGGTCAATTGGTCAATCGGTCAATCAATCAATCAATCAATCAATCAAGGAAATGTACCACAGGTTTGCCCACAGGCCAATCCAGTGGGAACATTTTCTCAAATGAGGTTCCCTGTCCAAAATGACTCCAAGTGTCAAGTTCATACAAAACCAGCCATCGAAGGACAATAGTGAGGCCATATTTTTAGCTGGTTGAGCAGTTAGGAATCTGCAGTTACCACTGCTCACAGCTAAAAGAAGATTCTGTGGCCAGACGTGACAGTCGTTCTGACCAATAGTCATAATCAAGTATTTAAAGGGTAAGCTGACAGATATGTCTACTTAGCAAAGCAAGTGTTTGCTTGCTTTAGGACTTGTGGTGAGTACGTGTGTGTGTGTGTGTGTGTGTGTGTGTGTGTGTGTGTGTGTGCCAGAGAGCAACCTCAGATACCACACCTCAGGCACTGTCACTTTTAGAGACAGAGTCTTTCACTGGTCTGGAACTTATTAAATAGGCTAGACTGGCTGACCGGGGAGCCCAGGGATCCTTCCGTCTCTGCCTCACCAGTTCTGGGACCCGGGACCATAAATGTATGCCACAGTACCCAGCCCAGCCTTCCTTCCTTCCTTCCTTCCTTCCTTCCTTCCTTCCTTCCTTCCTTCCTTCCTTTCTTTCTTTCTTTCTTTTTTGGGGGGTGGGAGTGGCTTCTCTGTATATCTGGCTCTTCTGGAATTCTCTCTGTAGACCAGGTTGGCCTTGAACTCACAGAGATCCTCCTGTTTCTGCCTCCCAAGTGCTAGGATTAAAGGTGTGTGCCACCAGTCCAGGCTTGTATACCCTGCTTTCTTAAACTGTGTCTTCTGGGGATCAAACTTGCAAGGCGAGCACTAAGCGAGACATTTTCCAAGCTCTTTTTTTTTTGAGTCTTGACAATTAAATCTGGTAGATGCAAGATGAAGATAATGAGCAGAAGATAAGGAACGAATAACCTGGATTTGGTAAGTCTGAAAGAGTCCCTTTTCAAAGTGATCTGAATGGGCCAATAGAGAGAGTGGAGAGGACTTCGGGTCAGCCTGGCTGGAGGCAGCTCTGCCTGTCACAGCCTGGTTGCTGTGTCCTCTTATCTCAACAAAGCCCCAACTCTTATTTTACATATTTTTACATTACACACATAATGTACACACACCGTTACATTACAATACATCCGTGGCTGTCATCCGTGAAGCTATGTGGCTATTTTTGGTGACGCTCTTGGACCTGTATTGTGAAAGGTAGGTGGTGAGCCAGCACCCAATACAACAGTATGTCCTCATCATGGGCTGTGGCCTGGCCTTCAAAAACTCCTTGACTGTCTAGCCTGACAGTGCTGTCTGAACATCTGCTGGAAATAGAAGCCAAGCAGCTGTGGGGACAAACATCAGACAGGCTGGAGATAGTGACTCTGGGTCAGCATGACAACAAGCCGCAGCCGTCTGTGAAGGCAGAGCATAGATAAGAGATTCCATCCATCAGAATTGCCGGAATATTCACTAGGTGAAACCCTGCAAGGTCAGGTCAAATATACACTGAGGACTCTATTGACATATATATCAAATATATTCTGATCACACGAGGACTCACCAATGAATACATGTTCACAGAGTAAGCGAATAAGTATCTGTATTTGGGACAGTTCTGGAAACCTCCATTCCTTGCTACAAGTGGTTATCAGAGTGGAGAGTAGAGAAAAGCAGATTGGCAGTAAGGAAGTAGATATAATCAGTGTGTGTGTGTGTGTGTGTGTGTAAGTGTGTTTGTGTGTGTATGTATGTGTTTCTGA